CACCTCACCTTTTTTCTACCTTTGTGTCTGTCTTTTACATATTTGAAACACTCTTCTGTCCCCCCATCTGGACTTTTTTTGTTTCGATGTTCCTCTCCCTCTGTGAAGCCTGAAGTCAACTAAAGGGCTAATGATAACTATTATAAAGCCTGCCATTTGATATAAATAAATAAATTTTATTTTCACGATTCCATATTTCATAGAACAAGTTCAAGTTTGTTGACTAGCAGACGAAAGGACTTTCCCACAGCCAGATAACGGTTCTGTTGCTACTCACACATTTAGAGTTACGTGCACACAAAAGCACTATATCAATTTCCTTTTGATCGCACTCCTTTATCCTATTATCTTACATTGAAAAGTCCACACGCGCCTCAGTTAGCTCCCAAAGAATTTAATTTTTTATTACTGGTCTGTATTGAAATGGATGTTCATAGATGATATGTGCAGTCTTTCTATAAATAATCTATCATAAAACTGTTCCATTAGAGTAATGCTCCTAAATCTGACCACTTTTGTAAAAGAACCGCGTGTATTTAAGTCCGTCCTGATTGTTGATAAAAAGCCGGGCACATGAAGTACTTTGAAGTTAAGAAATAAAGCAGCAGTTTGCTTCCATTTCTTCTAAATCTCTTCATCATCGAGGCGATTTGAGGTCTTTTAATCCCAACTACTAAATAACTTTACATTGATAAATAGTTTATAATGGCAGAATCCTGCAACTAAATCGCTAATTTAGTGCGATCTTAACATTAGTAAATATTTAATGAAACCCATAAATTCTTTTTTTCATCAAATCTCAATTCGATTTGAGCTCGCTTCGAAAAATTTTACACGAGACGATTTGTTACTGTGCTTTAAAATCACGTATAGTTTTACCACAATGGAAATGCACTTTTCAAGACAATTACCATAAAACGTTTATCGGCTCTACTTTCACCCTTATTCACATTTGTTGTGACGCTTCACTTGAGCACAGTTTAAATAAATGTGTCTTAGTAATGAAAGGTAGGAGTAAATAGCAGAGATTCTAAACGAGAAGTCAACAGAGGATAGAGTGTTTGAGCACGTGATGTATTGGAACAAGGTTTATAACATGAAATCAGTGTTCATAAGTATTTATCCAGTGGCAAGTATGGACGGACTGGAATAATTACTTCAAAACATCTGGAGGGATGAAAGAATTCGAATTTCTCATGCCAACGACTCTGTTTTGAACAGGCGTGCTTTATTTTTCCTTGAATTGTTTACAATTTGCCTAAAAGGGAAAGTAAACAGCAGATGAATGATGTTCATCCTTATTTACAAATTAATTTGTCACGGAAGCTTGCTGATCTAAGTTGAAAGGAGTGTTTGAATTAGTTGAAATATTTTTTCAATTATACTTATATTCACAGAATGGCATAATTTGCTAGCTTTCACTGTCGGAAGGTTGAACTTGTGTCATCTTCTAAGCCAATACGAATTAAGGCATGGATTTGATTCAAGTAAATGTCTTATATTCGCTCACCATTTTTAAACATGCCAAATCGATAACCCTGCTGTTATTAAATAAACGCATTACGCTGAAACGAAGCATAATCTGAGCGTTCATCACTCCCTCTCTTTGTTTGAGCTCGTAATCGGTTACATTTGCCAATTGGTACTGCATGGCTATTGTTTCCACTTTGCCAAGTACATACTTCTTGATGTGAATTAGGCAATATCCATAGGGAAAACTGTTATTTAGTTAACATCTGGCTAGGCAGCCACGATTAGTAGCAAGTAAGAATTAGAAATGCGTACTTTCAGTGACCGCAAAAATAAAGTTCGTGCTATTGTGATTTATGATAGGTCTATGGTAGTGTTCTTAGCAAAAATGAATTTTCGATTACGCGAGAGCGTTCGTTTACGGGGAATAGTGAACCAGTTCAATGAGAGTTGGATGGTGAAGGCATCTTAGTCACCGAGTAAAATAAGGCCAACCTTTATTCGAACCCAAGACTTGATGGTTTTAATACATTTTTACGCAATGCTGTTTTCCACTGCTCCAGAGTTCGAAATTCAGAAATCAGGTTCTTGGGTCCTTACTGTTCAAAACTAATGCAACTGTTGGTTAAGTTGAGTGGCTGTTCATGACATCTTGAGAAAATTATTTCTGCTAACATTTTACAACACCCATCAAAAATCTACAGTATTTGCAAGAATTTTGGTCGAAAATGAACAATTCTTTGAATTGAGGATAAATTTTTAAAAAAAGTTTATTATATTGAATAAAGTAACGTTATTTCAAAAGAAACGATCAAAATCGTTTAATCAATTAGCCTGTCACAAAAAGGTTCTGATTTGATCACCTATGCACCCCGTAAGATGAATGCAGTGGACTCAGTTTCTGATCTGATAATTCAAAGCCTATCGAATCATGGGGCACATTTTTTTTCGAAGCATTTTTTTCAGACTCCTTAAAATTACTGGCAAAAACACTTTAATATCTCGAAATTAAATCATACGGTGCAAATGTAGGATAGGGTAAATTGCAATTAAGCACAGTTATCAGAAATGCTTGAATTCAAACTGAGCTTCCCCCTTACCTTCTGCTTTCTCATGTGCTCGTTAGTGGGACTGAGCGATCCCTTTCCTATTATTATTTAGGAGTATTGATCAAATCTAGTGGATTTATACAATCTGTCCTATTAAGTCTAAATTCATGGAGGTGATTAACTTCAAATTAATGAGTAGTTAATTTCCAGAATTTTAACACTGGCTAACTTTGTATCGTCGTCACATTATTAACCCTCTCCGATGATTCAAAATGCCGATAGTGTAAAAATCTGCTTCTTATCAATAGAAATAAACCTTTTTTCTACGAGAAAATGACGCTATAATGTTGTCTGATGAATCTAACACATCTATACTACCACTACTACATCCCTAGATTGTATCAGGCATTCTACCCAGTCTCCGGCTTTAACTGTTTCTCAAATGTTACTTTCCAGTGCAATTCATGCTCATTCGCCAAACGATCGTATAAACCTTCCACATTAAAATCGTAGCAGTATGCTTCATCCCTTAGCCTACCTTGCCTGAGCGACAATCATTCCTGAAGTCCTATCTCTTTGGTCATTAGACAAAATCTGCTAAGTTACACTGACTTTTTGTCTTTCTTCCTCTGGATCTTCATGATTTTTTAACGAGATCATGTATCCAAAATATCTTGACAGTGTGGTTGCATTCGAGATAATCCAATGCCTTTTTGTCTCCTAAATAATCGGTCTTTTTCAACCCTTTTCCCGTGAAAATAGAATGGTGTTAAAAGTGGTTTGCGCAAACTGAACCACTTTATCATCAAGATCACATGTGCTCACGAATTAAGGCTTCATGGTCTTACAGTGATTCAAGTATAACCAAATCTTCCTTAACTTAGCGGATTCATATTCAATTAGGTCTGAATCTGTACCTATCAAGTCTGGCAACGCCACTCATTGTTTACGTTGGTAAGCGTGTCATCCAGTTCACTTCTACATGATTCGATGACTTCTTTTAATGAATCAATTATCTTCCTATTCGACTTTCTGCCCATTCTCAATGATGTGGATGGGTAGCTTACTGTGAAATTCTCGTGCTATAAGGGAAGGAGACAGTGAAAGATACTTCTAAGCGTTTTCAGTTTTTCCCAATGGACGACCCCTCCTATGCGAGTCTGTTGAAAGGAAAAATATTTGCTGATCAACTTACGTTTATTTAGCATAGCAACTGATTACTTCAGAAAGAAAATGGTGAATGGTGGTCTTCTTCATTTCTTTTGTAGGCATCTTCACCTGACGAAAAGGCCTTCGTTGAAAGTTGTCGCGATTTTGGAATCGTCTATCACGGCATTGATTCAGCAGGATTTCATGTGAGTTAAGCTGTGCTACCTACGTTATGAGTATTTAAACTTCATGATTTTAGTGCTGTCTTAAAATGCGAATTCTAATTCTTTCATGGTTCCCAAAGTTTTCGATTCATACTCTAAACCTGAAAAAAAATGTCGTACTAATAATTTGGGTTACATCTACCATAGATTGTAACTGTGTTTGATCGCTCTGGAACAAGGTATCGTGTCCTCGATAGTCTGGAATTTGACTCCAATCGAAAATGCATGTCGGTGATTCTGCAATCTGTTCAAGATGATGACGTCAGCTCGACGGCTTTTGACCCAAAGAGAGGAGTGGTGATTCTCTGCAAAGGAGCGGAAACGAGCATTCTTCCAAGAGTAAGTATTTATCACAGACTTCATAAAGCACGCGCCAATGTTCGCTCATTTAACTGATGTCATTATCTTAAGCATGTCATTCTAGCGTCAAGGTTTACATTTGCTAGACAGAGAGCAACTTTTGAGGTGACAAGAGAAGTGAAGAAGTGTTTACTCCTGTGAGAACTTTGTTTTGGTTGGCCGAAGGGGTTTTTATTTCAAAAGTGAAATTTGTGATTTGCCTACGTTTCTCGAGTAGATGAAATAAGGCTTGATTGTTTTCAAGAATTATAACTTTGATTTTATCTACAACAATTGAGCGAATAGACTTTCTAAGAGATCATTTTTTTTCCATTCCGCATTTGTGATATTTCGATTGGCTAATATTTGCGTTCTCATGCATAACAAACTTCAGTGCATGTTGCCATTTTAAGTGAATTTTGTTTTATTAAAACTAATGGTGTATGAAATTTAAAAATACTTTTTTCTCCGTCTTTTCGTTAACTTTTATATAGTATTTCGAATAAGTATGAATTAGCTTATTTTTAAGCCAATTACGAATAGTGACCATTTTGCCCCGTTGGGTTTTAGATAAACTTTGTAGATGATTTAATTAAACGCTGATTAAGAAGAATCTTCGCTTTTATTTTAAGAAAGTCTCTAATTCATTATTAGTTGTAACTAATAACAACAACTGACTTGGTCATAAAGAATTTTTAAAGTTTCTCGCAGAGGGAACTTGTATTCCACCGTCTTCTTATTGGCTAGGATTTAGCGATGAAGCCCCTAATATATATATATATATATATATATATATATATATAGTATTGTGCATTGATTTCATGACTATTGACTTGGAAAATTTCTCTAATGAACGGTTTACTGACTTTAAGTGCCATTCTACAGTGCGATCAAGATAAAAGGGGTCCTGTGTCCTAATTCACACTGAAGGTGATATTAAACGAATGTGTGGGACCACGTACTATTCTGTATTTACGACTTTGAAATAAAAATATGCTACTTATTTGATTTTCTCTATTCCCATGGTACCTCATTTATTTTGGTCAATCTGTAGAAATGCCATCGTGAAGAACAATATTTGGCATTCACTGACTTTTGTCTCTTTTCTCATTCTATTCGATTATCTACATCGTCTCACTGTCTCGTTGTGTGTAAAAGTGATGATAAAATGGATACGTCAAAAGTTTTTGCAAATTATCCTTGATGGCATTTCATTTTGAATGTGACAGCCTATCTAGTAAGCCGTTTTTATCACCATAAAAGTACAAAATACGACTGTTTGTAAAGTTGTTTTCGAAGTAACTGTGCACCGACGGCATACAAGCTAATTGTTTGTTTATTGCATCAGACGATTCATGATATGCGCACATCAAAGTATGGAGTTTGGACGCAGAAATATCGAACAGTGTCACTTTTACCAATTCTCTACATATGCTCGGTAATTAAATTTTCATTAGTATGATTTACGTTTATAGTAGTCTTAAAGTGGTGTTCACACACATTTAGCCTTTCAGTGGGCTTCCTTAGGGCTCATTTTGACATAAAATGGGCAATTAAGTCAAGATTTTATAGAGGCGTTGAGAGTTAGATTTAATCCACTTCATCTTACGTGAGTGGGCATTAAAGTGCTAAATATAAAGTCAAATTCATGGAAATATCACGAGCTTATGAGATAAAGTTTGTACATAAACACCACGCTAGTGAAAAATACATTGCAAATTATTTCATTTTGGCCCATAACATCAGATGTCAGCAAATTTGATTAACGATAAGTATCTACCTTGTAAAAAAGGAAACCTCCAATTTCAAATTCTTCTGTAAAGGGAGCAAAGACGTTTCTCAGCCTAATTAATGCCAAACTAACTAACACCTTCATCCTAAAGTTTTAGCAGCAATTTAGTCCTGATAACTCAAGTGAATACAAAATATGTGTTTCAGCTCGTTAGATTGACAAGTTTCACCTTTCTGAGCAGAGCAAAGGAAGCCAAATAAATGGGATCGCCTTAGTCACGCTCACATCACTTTAGGTTGAGAAATTCTGACGACGAGGACAAATTCTGACCTTTGGCTGTTAAGGAAATTCTTCTCTAATCTGTATGAAAAGCTTTCTGTCACACACGCACTCACAAATATACATATACATATACATATATATATATATATATATATATATATATATATATATGTGTGTGTGTGTGTGTGTGTTTATGTATATAGAAAGATAGATA